AAGTATGATAATGACGTCATTGTAATCATAATAACAGCAATAAATGCAAAAAAATTAATAGAAGTCCAATTGTCACGTGTAAAAGGTTAATCATCATACCTTCCCCACATAATTGTTAGCTTCTCCTACATCCAGGTGTCAAAAAACATGCAAATGACGGCCTGAATCAACTATTGAAGGTGTGCAATTAGTCCCCGAAAAAACACCAAACAAGGACTTAATTATTTGGGGACAATTTTCTTAAATATATTGAAAAATAAAATACTATTTACACCTTAGCTGAAAATTTTTTTGCTAAAGTTTTATATAGTTTCAACTAATTAAATTTTAATTTTAACATCAGATATGAACCCTTGGTATTTATAATGTCAAATCTAGTCGATTTATATACACTCGTCAAATAACGTCTTAGCCTTTGTTTGACTGACAATTTATAAATAGTTTATAGATTCGATCAAAATCAAATATTAATTACAACAACACAAAGATAAGTACTATTCATTTATTATCCATGCAAGGCTCACTACTATTCATTCCTCTTTAGAATTCACAACTATTAAAAATGATCAATGTTTTCTTGTCGGTGATTGAAGCATCTTTACGATTCCTGTAAACGTCATCTATTATTTTGCCATCAGTAATCGTAGATGAATGTGTCTAGGTGATCATTGACGGTATTAAGTTCATTTTTCTACTCTCGATAGTCTTGAAACGAAAGTTAGCATGACAAGTCACAACCAAAGTCTAAAACACTAACAATGAGTCACATATTGCAGTCACTGGGATAGGGAAGAAATGTTAAGCAAGGACATCCTCTGTTATTTGAAGGATGATTAGCATTTAGATTCAAAGGGGAGTTGTAAATATCAAGCAACTAATCAAATACGAAACAAGTAATTGAGAACATCTAAGTCGCATCATTTTGGCACAAGGATTAGGACAATGGCGGAATCACACTAGTGACAAGGTTCAACATCTCCATCAACGCTAAGGGAAACAACCAAATATAGAGTTTGAATCATGTAAAATGGGATACTTGAAGGAACTGCTGGATCCACAATATTTGTTTTCTATGCGTCCGTGGGTGACTACATTCCATAATATTTGTTTTCGTTGGCAGGTTGAAAATGGAGAAAGTATAAGTCTCTTTCTCAATCCACGGTTGTCACGGCCAGCTTCTTCTAGGCCACTTTCTCCACCTCATAGCGAGATTCCAATGTCTGTGATCTTATTAGTAACGCAGGGATGTGGAAGGACGCTAAGATCAATCTTTATTTTTTGCCAATTGACGGTGATTTTATTAGTTTCTATTGCATAAAGTCTCCCTTGTCAACAAGATCACCTTATTTGACATTATGATTCAACTGAAATATATTCAGTAAAGAGTGAATATGATCTACACCTCCAATCACGTCTCAATTCTGTTAGACCTAGCATTGACATGTTAGCTATGTGGTGGATATGATCTACTCATTTATAAAATTGAGCATTGAAGGTTGATTACAGGGATAACAAAAAAAATTTGTTCAACCTGATATCAGCAGCCCCGCCTCAAATGGGACGGTTTTTATCTGCCTAATAGAGTAAACGAATCGGGGCGGTGTCATTGTCCCGAAGCAGGCATGAAAAACATGGTTCATTGCAATTTCAAATTTAATTTTTTATCGAACAATTTAAAAAAAATTATCATCAATTTAAAGAGAAGATATGTTGTTTTTAACAAATTAAATTAATAATAATAATA